ATCTTTAACAATTTTATAATTAACTGCATTTTAATATTTATATATTAACTATTGCTTTTAATGTTGTGAACCACTTTTGAGTCTCATTCGAATTGTGAGCCATTTTGAGTCTCATTTAACTGTATTTTAATATTTACATATTGTAGCCTTAAATTGTATGGTTTTTAATGCTGTGAACCACTTTGAGTCTCATTTAAGAAAAGAAACAAGGGTAGCAATAATAATGTCTTTAACAATTATGTTTTGATATATATCAGGCTTCAACTGTATTGTTTTTAATATTGTGAGCCACTTTTGAGTCTTCTTTAAGAGAAGAGAGCTAATAATATTTTAACAATTCAACGTTTGTATTTTTTTTATATATTGTAGGCTTGAAGAATATTGTCAAAGGCTTTGATGGCCGGAACCACTGGGTTGCTGTTAAGTTTTCCAGGCTGCATGGCCATGTTCCAGAAGCATTATTTCCTGACGTTTTGCCTGTATCGATGGCAGGCATCCTCAGAGGTTGTGAGGTCTCACAACCTCTGAGAATGCCTGCCATCAATGCAGGCGAAACATCAGGAGAGAATGCTTCTGGAGCACGGCCATGCAGCCCGAAAAACTCAAAGTTACCCACTGAGCGGTATTGTTTTTAATGTTGTGAGCCACTGTGGGCCTTTCCACACAGCCCTATATCCCAGAATATCAAGGCAGAAAATCCCACATTATCTGAGTGTGGACTCTGATAACCCAATTCAAAGCAGATATTGTGGGATTTTCTGCCTTGATGTTCTGGGATATAGGGCTATGTGGAAATATATAAAAGGTAAATGTTTTCCCCTGACATTAAGTCCAGTCATGTCCGACTCTGGGGTGTGGTGCTCATCTCCACTTCTAAGCCGAAGAGCCAGCGTTGTCCGTAGACTCCTCCAAGGTCATGTGGCCGGCGTGACTGCACGGAGTGCCATTACCTTCCCACATTTGCATGTTTTCGAACTGCTAGGTTGGCAGAAGCTGGAGCTAACAATGGAAGCTCATGCCGCTCTCTGGATTCGAACCTGCGACCTTTCGGTCAACAAGCTCAACGGCTCAGCGGTCAATATTAATGTCAAAAATACATAGTATGATTTTACATAGGATTTGTGCTACATTAGAACAGTAAAGTGACTCTGGAACTCACTGTCTGGAGAAATTAGGAAATCCCCTACCTTAGAAACCTTTAAAAAGGACCTTAAAACCTGGCTCTTCCTCTGCGCTTTTGATGAATAAGGTTTACATTCTCACACTATTGCTTAGCCTCAACGTTTTGTCATTGGAGTATATGTCCCCCCTCCTTTGTTGGAAAGCCTGATTCCACAACCCCACTATAATGAGTCCTCCTCCACAAATAATCTGTCTCTCTTATCTCACCTGAGTTTTAATTAGTTTTAATCAGTCTCTCTTTGAATCATTACATGCAGCCCGCCCATTGTCATTGTGATTGTGCCTATTGTAATTTTATATTGCTATGTTTTCATATGTTTATGTAATTAAGTTGTTTGTTGTTTATTGTTTGCATTTTCGGTTTTATTTTATTGTAATTTGCTGTTTGGGCTTGGCCTCATGTAAGTCGCTCCGAGTCCCCATTGGGGAGATGGTGGCGGGGTATAAATAAAGTTTATTATTATTATTATTATTATTATTATTATTATTATTATTATTATAAAGACAGGAGCCCCTGGAGACGCAGAGGGTTATTATTATTATTATAAAGACAGAAGCCCCTGGTGGTGCAGAGGGTTAAACCCTGGTGCCAGCAGGACTGAAGACCCACAGGTTGCAGGTTCAAATCCAGGGAGAGCGCGGATGAGCTCCCTCTGTCAGCTCCAGCTCCTCATGCGGGGACATGAGAGAAGCCTCCCATAAGGATGATAAAAACATCAAATCATTTGGCCGTCCCCTGGGCAACGTCCTTGCAGACAGCCAATTCTCTCACACCAGAAGCGACTTGCAGTTTCTCAAGTCACTCCTGACATGACAAAAAAAAAAATCCTGATGATCTGCATCGTCCTATCTCCCAGAGTTTTTTAAAATTTTAGCCTTGAATGTGGCCCTGCCCAGTGAAATTCTCTTTTTTAATTGCATGTTTTATATTTATTATATTTCTTTGCATTTTATGTATTTTATTTTCTGGTTATTTTTATGTTTTTTGTATTACAATGTATGTACTGCACTGATGGGCTTGGCCTCATGTAAGATGCACTGGGGGAGATGCAGTGGGGTATAAATAAAGTTTTATTATTGTTAAATTAAAGATTAAATATTAAATAACCAGAAAAATAAAATAAGGGGTAAACACTAATCTGGGAGTCTGCCATTGCAGCACATCCAATGAAGTGGTTTAAAATGGGGTAATATTTTAGTATCATTTGACAAAGGAAAGGAGGGAACAACAACAACAACACAGTCTTTTCTAGTGAGTTATGTCTTCTCGTGATGTGTCTAGAGTACAAGTCGTTTTGCCCTCTGTACAGGTACAACTGCACCAGGAGCTCCAATTATGTTTGCTTTGCATTTAATGTTTGTTATAGTCCCAAGTTTCAAGGACTCTGCAGATAGGTAGCTTCTTTTGGCTGCAATCATAGGGCAAGCAACCTGTCAATTATAGTTAGGTTCCCTGGTCCCGCCCCCTTTTTGGGTTCTTGGAGGGAATAGGAGCCTTTTTGGGTCCAGTCCACACAGAGAAGCTTTCCATGCAGGACATAATACCAAGAGAAAATAATACCTGTAGAAAGCTTCGTCTTCTATGAATTGGCCGGGGAGATATATAGCCTACAGCTTGGCCGGGGTTATACAGCTTACGGCTTGGCCGAGGATCATACAGCCTTACAGCTCCTTTGCAGAGGGACTTCAGTCAGCCATCACTGAAACCTGAACTCCTTTTCCCCTGGAAGTCTACAAAGCGTACCTGTCCGAACGTATCTCCTTCTACGCCCCGCCTCGGAGTTTAAGATCTGCTGGGGAGGCCCTGCTCTCGGCCCCACCTTTATCACAGGCGAGACTGGTGGGGATGAGGGACAGGGCCTTCTCGGTGGTGGCCCCTCGCCTGTGGAATGCACTCCCGGGGGAGATTAGGTCATCAACATCCCTCCTTGCTTTCAGAAGGAAGCTAAAAACCTGGATGTGGGACCTGGCCTTCAGGTAAGCTGGCAGATGGACAAAGACAACCAATGACGACCAGAGTAGGAAAGGATAATGACGATGCTAGATGGATTACGGACTATGAATTGGTGAACATTGTCCACAAGATGATTTTATTGCTGCTAGTATACTGTTTGATTGTTTTAATTAGTTCTAACTGTTGACATTATGTGGTAAATTTGTGTATTGTATATTGTACTGTATTTTGTGAATTGTTAGGCATCGAATTGTGCCTTTTGTAAGCCGCCCTGAGTCCCCCTTAGGGGATTGAGAAGGGCAGGGTAGAAGCACTCCAAATAAATAAATCTATATAAATAAAAAGATAATGTTCATTTGTGGGGTTAACAGAACACAAAAACCACTGGACGAATTGACACCAAATTTGGGCACAAGACATCTAACAACCCAATGTATGTCATTCACTCAAAAAAATTTGATTTTGTCATTTGAGAGTTGTAGTTGCAGGGATTTATAGTTCACCTACAATCAAAGAGCATTCTGAACCCCACCAACCATAGAATTGGGCCAAACTTGGCACACAGTTCTCCCATGACCAACAAAAAATACTGGGTTTGGAGGGGTGTGTCCTTTGGTTTTGGAATTACAGTTCACCTACATCCAGAGATTACTGTGGACTCAAACCATGATGGATCTGGACCAAACTCCACCTGAATAGTCAATATGCCCAAATTTGAACAGTGGTGGAGTTTGGGGATAATAGAATCTTGTCATTTGGGAGTTGTAGTTGCTGGGATTTATCGTTCGCCTACAATTACAGACCATTCTGAGCTCCACCAACAATGGAATTGAACCAAACTTGGCACACATTTCTCCCATGAACAACAGAAAATACTGGAAGGGTTTGGTAGGCAGTGTCCTTTGGTTTTGGAGTTATAGTTCCTGCAAGGCCCTTGCGGAACAGATCCCATCTTTAGAAGTTCCTCCTAATGTTGATGTGAAACTCCATTCCTTGAAATGTCCACCTATTGTTCTACAACTACTGTTCGCCTGCTCCATCTTTCTATTTGATGGCCCTTCAGGTTTTTGAAAAGTAGATATTACAAATCCCTCTCTCTTCTTCAGACTAAACATACCCAAGTTCTTTCAGATGTATCTCAGAGGACTTGGGTTTTCTTCCTCCCTACGACCCATCAGTTGCTGGGATTTATCATTCACCTACAATCACAGAGCATTCTGAACCCCACCAACGATAGAATTGGGCCAGACCTCCCACACAGAAACCCCATGTAAGCCACAGCAACGCGTGGCAGGGGGCAGCTAGTAAATAATAAATACATTGGTAAGGGTCTCTCGGGGAAGCCAGAAGCAGTTGGTACCGGGTGTAGGGGCTCCACGCCAACAGAGGCAAAGACAGACTGCCCAGATTAGAAGTTAAGGATTTCCCCATTAGTTACAGTTGTGAAGATTGTGCCTGTTCCCTGTGGACAAGATTGAGAGCCAATAGACTGTTAAGAAAGCCTTGAAATACCTGTTTGTTTTCATTAATAAACTTTGTTGAACCTTTAAGCAATCTAAAGACTTTGTTTTAAGGAAAATCCAAGGGCCTTTAATCTGAGGCACCCCCGGCGTCCCGTTGGGCACACACAATTTATGTCCTGTCTACAGTCTTATGCACAGGCCCAGCGTGCCTGAAAAACATTCAGTTTGGCTCTGAGGCCTATTTGTTTCCCTTCTGAAGGAAATCTTAGCAAGAAACCCCTTTGCCAGGGTCGTCAGAGGATGGGAAAGAGCCCAAAGCAACCACACAGGCCCCTGCTCAGCCCCCCACAGACACACCTAAGGAAGGCCCCGCCAAGCCTGACCAGAGCGCAAGGCCTCACCCGAAGAGTCCCGAGAAGAAGCCGTGGGAGCCGCGCACTTTCTTGTCCGCCTCAGCCAGGAGCTGAAGGGCTTCTTTCTCCTTCCCGCTCGTGTCCATTGCCATGGCGGCCTCGACTGCAACGGCAGCCCCAAACGCAGAAGAGGAGGAGCGGCGAGAAGCAGCACTTCCTCCTTCCTCGGCTTCTCCTCACACTGAGGAAGACGTCGCCGGGAGCACTTGACGTCGCCACGCACGCCGCGTCCTGACGTCACCGCGCCCGGCTGGACCAAGGAAGCCGCTCGCGACCGCCCTCACTTCCCACGTGACCTCGCCTCAGCCACGCCCCCTCTTGGATCTCTCACTGCGCTGCTTCGTCTCACGTGACTGGGGTTGTGCTGACTCATCGGTGTCACGTGATCAGTGAGGTTTCCCCCCCCCCTCCTAGCATTGGTACAGTCCCAGCTGTACAAGAAGGTTGGGCTATACCATTTTCAAACTGTAGGGATGATGATTATTATATATCTCAATATTGCATATAATTTGTATAAAATTGATTATATTTCAATTTTGTATAAAATATTTTGTATTTTTAAATTAAAATTATATTGTTATTTTTATTTAATTATAATATATATATATCTTTATTTCTATTTAATTATATATATATATCTCCATATTGTATATAATATATATGAATAAATATATATAGTATTTAATACTGGCTACCAGTATTAAAAAACTCTAAAATCACATCTAAAAGCACATCTTAACACCTCTCAACAGAACATTTTCCCAGGCTCAGCCAGACCTTCAAATGCTAATGAAGGTGGTCAGTTGAAACATTCACACCTAACTACAGCAGGGAAGAGCTCCTTGCCCCACCCCAGCCATTCCACAGATATATAAACCCATTGTCCTAATTCCAACAGACCTCACACCTCTGAGGATGCTTGCCATAGATGCAGGCGAAACGTCAGGAGAAATGCCTCTAGAACATGGCCCTATAGCCCAAAAAAACCTACAAGAACCTAATTATTATATATCTCAATATTGTATATAAATTATATAAAATTAATTATATTTTAATTTTATATAAAATATCTTATATTTTTAAATTAGAAATTTTATTTTTATTTTTATTTAATTATTATATATATCTCTATATTGTATATAAATCATAAAATCAAAGAGTTGGAAGAGACCTCATGGGCCATCCAGTCCAACCCCATTCTGCCAAGAAGCAGGAATATTGCATTCAAATCACCCCTGACAGATGGCCATCCAGCCTCTGTTTAAAAGCCTCCAAAGAAGGAGCCTCCACCACACTCCGGGGCAGAGAGTTCCACTGCTGAACGGCTCTCACAGTCAGGAAGTTCTTCCTCATGTTCAAATTATATAAAATTAATTATATTTCAATTTTATATGAAATATTTTATATTTTTAAATTAAAATAATATTTTTGTTTTTATTTAATTATTATATATCTCAATTTTATATAAATTATTTTATATTTTTAAATTAGAATTTTATTTTTATTTTATATTTTTAAATTAGAATTTTTATTTTTGTTTTTATTTAATTATATGTATCTCCATATTGTATATAAATTATATAAAATTAATTATATTTCAATTTTATATAAAATATTTTATATTTTTAAATTAAAATCATATTTTTATTTAATTATAATATATCTCCATATTGTATATAAATTATATGAAATTAATTATGTTTCAATTTTATATAAAATATTTAATATTTTTGAATTAAAATTTTATTTTATTATACATCTATAATGGCATTAAAATTAAAATATATTTTAATTTAAAAATATAAAATATATATTTTATATAAAATTGAAATATAATTAACATATAATATAATTATCTATATAATATATATAATTACATAATACAATTATATCAAAATTAAAATATAATTTTAATTTTAATATATATAAAAACAAATAAAATATAATTAATATATAAGTAAAATTAATATAAAATATACAATTAGTATATAATACGATGGTATAAATATACATTATATATATTGTATATTAATATAACACATAATAAATATTATATATTATTTTATTATAATGTATATGTATGTATATATATATATTATAGGGATGTCATCTTTTTTATTACTAATGTGTTCAAATTATTTCTGAATTTGCTTTTCTAAGAAAAAAATAATTTAAAAAAATTATGTTGACCTTTAAGTGTCAATAGAAATAGGTTGTACCATTTCAAACCTAAAGCAGGGTATAAATAAACATAATAATATCGTAATTGTATATTATATATTCCATTTTATATCACTAACAATATTGCAGTGTAGTGGTATAGTACAGTATTAATATATAATATTAATGTTGTGCCATGCTGATAATATAAAATATTATATATACATATAATATTAGTTATATAATACAATATAATATGTAATAATATTGTAATATAATAGATTTTATTTTTTCGTGTCAAAAGCTTTCCATCAAATAGTTTATCTAAAACTGATAAAACAAAGGGATCACAAGCTGTTAGATAGTTTTAGACAAAAACGGGCAACAGTGACTGCATTGTCCGTAGCTTTCAACAATTCTTCCTCTGTGCTTGAGGCAGGACATTGTGGCCAAGCATACAGATGCTGAGTTGTTTATTCTGCTCCACAGTCGCACAAGGTGGAGAATTCTAGGTCAGTGGTTCCCAACTTATTATTCATGGACCACCAGTAGTCCACAAGAACTAAAATATGATCCGTGGCCTCACCATTACTCCACCATTGCAATGAGAGTGACTAGTCTCGCAAAACCCTCTTACGGTGCTGAGGTTTATTAAATATGGTTTTCTGTGGGCAAGCAGATGGCAACTACTGGATGGTATATGTTCTGTATCGGAAACTAGAGATGATGTGGTCTAACCAATGCAATTTTCTGAATCAGCACCTCAAATATCCAAACTGAATCTAAAATTGACCAAAAACTGATTTGTGACCCTTTTGGTGCTAATGTTGGAGAATGGTACACCTCCTACGTTAGTGGTCAAAGTGGTCTCTGGTCAAGTTTGGGAACCACTGTTCTGGGTAGTGCCATTTAGCCAGGTTGTCTTTTGATCTGCCCACTCCACTTCTGAGTATTTTCAGGGACTTCCAAGTTGCCTGGTCTTAGTTTGCCTCTGGAGGGAGACTCTCGTAGGAGGCCATCTCATGAAGCTTTTCCTTGATTTGAGTCTACTGGGAGGAGGCTGATAGCCATGCAGTGGGTGGCTTTCACAATGTCCAGCCTTATTTCTCTCACAATTGGCAGCAACTTCCCATTACACATCCGGGGGGGGGGGGGGGGGGGGGGGGGGGGATGCAGCCAATCTATAGAGCAGTGGTTCTCAACCTGGGCCCCCCAGATGTTTTTGCCCTACAACTCCCAGAAATCCCAGCTACTTTACCAGCTGTTGGAATTTCTGGGAGTTGTAGGCCAAAAACATCTGGGGACCCCAGGTTGAGAACCACTGCTATAGAGTCTATCAACAAGTTAGTACATTTCCACAGGATGTTATTGCTTGCAGCTCCTTTGTGCTCTGTGTTCGCACTGTTTCCTAAAGGTTAGCATTTATAATAATATAATAATGGAAATTGCTATATGATTGTATAACTAGTGTTATTGTTTTAATCTATTGTGTATTTATGGTTTTATATTGTTGTTATACTGTGATTTGCGGCATCGGGGGTTGAGAAGGGCAGGGTAGAAATGTTGTAAATAAACAAACAAATAAATAGCATTCGGTCTAAGGTGACACCAAGATATTTAGAGTGAGAACAGTGTTCAAGCTCTTGATCTTCCCAAGTAACCTTCAGTTTCCTATTGGCTTCACTATTACGTAGATAAAAAAAAAACCCACTTGTGTCTTGGCACGGTTAGGATTCAGGTGGTTACCTTTGTAGTAGCTGGAGAGATCTTTCAGGGCATTCATAAGTATAGTAGAGTCTATCTTATCCAACATAAACTGGGCAACAGAACGTTGGATAAGCAAAAATGTTGGATAATAAGGAGGGATTAAGGAATTAAGGATAAGCCTATTAAATGTCAAATTACGTTTTGATTTTACAAATTAAGCACTGAAACATCATGTTTTACAATGGAACAATGGCTTCAAACTACAAGAAAGGAGATTCCATCTGAACATGAGGAAGAACTTCCTGACTGTGAGAGCTGTTCAGCAGTGGAACTCTCTGCCCCGGAGTAAGTGTGGTGGAGGCTCCTTCTTTCTTGTTTCTTCTCTTCCTTCTTCCTCCTCCTTCCTCCTCTCCTCTTCCTCTCTTCTCTTCTTCCTCTTTTCTTCTTCTCCTCCCTCTCCTCCTTCTCCTCCTCCTCCTCTTCTCCTCTTTCTCCTTCTTCTTCTTCTCTCCTCCTCCTCTTCTCCTTCTTCTTCCTCTTCTTCTTCCTCCTCCTCCTCCTTCTTCTCTTCCTTCTTCTTCTTCCCTCTCCTTCTTCTTCCTTCTTCTCCTTTCTCTTTCTTCTTCTCCTTCTCTCCTCTTTCTTCTCCTTCTCCTTCTTTCTCTTTTCTTCTCCTCTCCTTTCTTTCCTTCTTTTCTTCCCTCTCTCTCTTTTTTTTCCTCCTTCTTCTCTTCTCCTTCTTCCTCTTCTTCTTCATCTTCTTCCTCCTTCTCCTTTTCCGGAGTGGTACCTATTGATCTACTCACATTTGCATGTTTTCGAACTGCCAGGTTGGCAGAAGCTGGGGCAACAAGTTTAGCAGCTCCGCGGTTTAACCACCGGGGGTCCCTTATAACTGCCATATAATCCAGTTCAAAACAGATACTCTGGATTTTACATGGCAGTGTAAATGGGGCCTTAGAGAAAGAAGCATCAATAGGAAGCTCATTTGCTATAGTATCTGGTGAATTGTCCTTCTGGCTATCCTGTAATATGCATTTCCAGTCCCTTTCATGCCACCCAGTGAAGACATCTGCCCTTGCGCTATGCTACTCTGCTGCTGAGTATGCATGCCCAGTGTGGAACACATCTCACCACGCTAAACAGTGGATGTGGCTCTTAATGAGACATGCCGCATTATCACGGGGTGTCTGCGCCCTACACCACTGGAGAAATTACACTGTTAGCCGGTATCGCACCATCTGACATCTGCCGGGAAGTAGCAGCCAATAGTGAAAGGACCAAGGCAGTGACATCTCCAGCTCATCCCCTGTTTGGGTATCAGCCAGCATGTCAACGACTTAAATCAAGGAATAGTTTTCTAAGATCTACAGAGACACTCGCTGGAACACCCCAGCAAGCGAGAGTCCAAAAGTGGCAGGCTCAAACCCAGAACCTCAATCAATGGCTGATACCAAATGAGAGACTCCCCCTGGGCACACAGAAGACTGGGCGACTTGGAAGGCGCTGAACAGACTGCGCTCTGGCACCACGAGATGCAAAGCCAACCTTAAGAAATGGGGCCACAAAGTGGAATCCACGACATGCGAGTGTGGAGAAGAGCAAACCACTGACCACCTGCTGCAATGCAACCTGAGCCCTGCCACATGCACAATGGAGGACCTTCTTGCGGCAACACCAGAGGCACTCCAAGTGGCCAGATACTGGTCAAAGAACATTTAATCAACTACCAAACTTGCAAATTTTGTGTTTTCTCTGTTTGTTTGTTTCTTTGTTTTGTTAAAAATGTAATACAACTGCCTGGTTGCTCCTGACATGATAAATAATAAATAAAAATGCCACCCAGTTATAGCTACTACTTAACTACTGATGTTCCATGACAGGAGTGGAATATCGCAACCAATGCGATATTCCACTCCTGTCATGGAACATCAGTGTGCATTGTAGGCCAAGTGCCGCTGCTCCGAAGCGCATGGCAGTGCATGAGTGTGTCTTCATCCCTTTTGCCACTTGGGGATTACTGTTGTAACCCAGGGACGTTTTTCGTGCTGCTGTGCACTTTTCCGAGGAGCCCTGGCGGAATCACTTCCGAGGAGAGGTTAGGCTGCAATTCCCATTTTGGTGCACCAGGAGCTGCGGGGCTGCAATGCACACCTCTGAGGCTGCGCTATGCTCAGGATAACAAAGGAGTGAGTATGAATCATGCAAGGGATGATGGAGGGAAACCCATCCTGCCTAAGAGTCCCTAGTTGCCCTCCTCCTCTTTTGCTTCTCCAAAACCATTGTCTCCTGCCTGCATGCTGCCATTAGATGTATTTGTTTGCGGATTTTAGGCTGTGCTTTAAAAGGTCAGAGAGGTGACAGTTGGGAGATGGGTGGTATATCCACCTGCAAGGAGTGAATCTCCCCATCCTATGGATTCTTTGTTAGTGGCTAAATTTGGGTTGTTAAGAGGAGCGGAAAAAGCAACCTTATCCCACAGAACAACAAATGTGTGCTTGCCCCCACCTCCCCTCTGAGTCTGTATATAATACTTGTGTAATCATTATTATTTAAGTATTATGTATGTCATCATAATTAAAATTTTGTAAGCTGCTCTGTGTGCATTTGTAACTGAG